ACGTTTGACTTTGCTACCAGAGCATCGAGTCGAAAAGGATGTTTAAGTTCCCGCACCTATGCTTTTTTGGATGACGGCAGGAACCTTTTGAAGGTTTCCTTGGTCATTTTGTCCCTAATTGCTCCTTTTTACTTGCAGGATTTGTACCCACCTCTTTTGTTTCTCCACTTGTATTTATTCTCATTCTTTCAATCTCTCTTGCCGTTCCTCTGCTCATACCTGATCTGAGATGGGGTGTTCCCCAAGCCTATTATCTGTCTCCTCCACCCTCTTTTTACACCCAACTTCTTTGACATTTTTGAGATAGGCTGTGATCCGTGAAAAGGTATCGAGTTTATAGGAGATAATACGGAGTCCCACATCCAACCATTATGTGCGAGATTCAAAAAATTATATAGTTGTTTTTTATTCCTGCAAAAAAATCTCAGTCCTCTCTCTGATTTCTTCGTCCTCAAGAGTAGCAGTATGAAGACAAAAGCAGCCAGAGCCCCAAATACAGTCATTTGTAGTGCGAATACTAAAAAAAAAAAAAATTCCAGAATTAAATAATCATTCTATAGTAAAATTACATTCTAAATTTTAAATTTTCATTCCATCTTAAAAAATATCATTCAAATTTTAAATTTTTTCATCTTACTTTAAAACTTTCCTTCCAAGAGTGGGGTATCCCGTCTTATTTGAACTGCATGCTAGAGATGGAATGAAAGTCTAGATGAGTTCATGAAATATTTAAATTGGACTGTCATTATAAGTAACGATTTTCAGTCATAAATAGGTTAATCAAATCTAAATTAGAAGATATTTATTGTACTAGAATGAAAGTTTAATTAAAATTTTTCATAAACTCGTTCAGACTTCCATTCCATCTTGAACGAATAAATGTAGTTGGAAGGGAAAACTCATATTTAGACAGGAACTTATCAAATAAAACTGGAAATTTTAAAATTGGATGAACATTGAAATGATAATTTATAAATATGAAGGAATTTTTTTTTTTTTATGGAATGTTTTTTAAACTTTCATTTCTCGTGGGAATTTTTCTGTTGTAATCGCCACCGGCTTATGGTCCGAGAGCGAATCAGAGATTGTTTCCGACTAAATGACTTCCTGAACCAATTGTTTAGGAATCAGGAAAAAATCCAGGCGCCTTTTCACACATGCTATTGGACCCGCATTACCAAACCAGGTAAAACCCGATGATAGTGGGTTCATCACTCTGAATACATCGCATAGCGCTTAAGCTTTCTTCCATTTGAACAATGTTAGCTAGTCCAAGTGAATGTTCACATCAGCCTCTGCATCGATAACTGGTTCGAGAACTAAATTCCAATCACCCCTTACCACTAATCTGTCTGAGTTGGGCATACAAAATGAGAGATATTCCATGAATTCTTTTCGTTTTTTCTGTTCGTTGGGAGCAGAGATAGTCGCAAAAACCCTGTCTACATCCTCGATCGATACTTTGACCTAACACCAATGCCCCCACAAATCTGAATCACAATCTATTAGTCTGGCATTGATCCTTTTGTGAAACAAAATTGCAACACCACCTTTGGACCCTCTCGCGGGGGACAAAAGCACCATTCGTTCATTTTTGCTAATTTCTTCTCTCACAACTTAGTTTCCTGGATCATGGCAATATCTATACCCTCTTCATCCAATCAAGATTTTAATCTCTTCCTTTTTTTCTTAGCTCCGAAATCGCCAAGGCCATGTACATTCCACGTTACGACTCTTAAGTTATTCATCTGCATCGGGGAGACCGCCTGCTGAATGGATGCGGTTGGAAGGATCAACAGGTCTGGCGCCATTACACACTGAAGGGTTTTCCAACCATACTTCACTCAGTGACTGAGCAAATAAAGTTGAAGAGAAGTTATGCCAGCGAGGTAATGTGTTCCTCGGGTTTTCTAGGATTGTGGCGGGGACACCAGGATCAACTACCATTTGAGCCAACATTGCCAAAGAGGGATCTGCAAAAGTGTTGATAGGAACACCAGTCAGACCTACCTTACTGATGCTAGCCCACTGGTCATCATGAAAACGAGCATCAATAAGTGCGATGGAATAACGAATCATTTTCCCCCCAGCCAAGTCAACATAAAATTTGACCATTCATCCCTCAGAGCAGATACAAAAATATAAGTGATAAACAAACAATTTCCTTACCTTATGCATGATCGACTTGGGGGTTGGCAAACCATCGATCTGCTGAGAAGGAAGAACCATCTTACCCTCCTTGTTAATAAAACCTAACACATACATAGCTTGAGCTTTCATAATGCATACCAGCGGGAGTAACCATCTCTCTTCGTATTCTGTGACGCCACCTTCAAGGGATTTGATCCTGCCCGGAATATGACCGGGGGAGGGTCCTACCACCCCACTTCCACTTGGGTCTTGGGAAACATTTTGCCCGTTACCTGCTTGTGTCATCACTTGATGAATCTCCTTTATACCATTCCCGCGCATATCCGGGGTGGTGGTACCGATTAGACCACTAGCCTAGACAACAGGAACATTGTTCGGTCCTGGGTAGGTAGCCATAGGCCTAGAAGGGCACGATGGTGGCACTCCATAGCATCCGCCAGAGGATTCGCGAACTGACCTCTGCTGTACGAAAATCCACCTAGTGACACAATTGTTCGATTAGCTCCTGCCAACAAAAAGCTGAGGCGGGGGTCCTGGTTCAATACTTAACATAAGGCCTGCCACTAAAAGGCTTCTAGACAGGCGCCAACTGGTAGAGGAACAACTACTGGGCCTGGATATTGATATGTCCAAGTGCCCTGTTGTGGATGTTGTTGTAATATGGTTGTTGCCACCTCGTTGAGGGTGCCACCAGGTTGCTTTGAAGCAGGTCTGCTTTGGTTGCCTTGAGATTAAGAGCTTGTTTCAGAGTGTTGAACCCTATCCGGTTAAACACCTCTTGTTGTTGCCCGAATGTTCCTGCTTTGAGTTTCATCTCCCTCTCCTCCTCGTCTTGTTCTAAAATTATTATCTCGAGCTCCGCTATTCAGTTGTTGGTCTTGTTGCATTTCCCCGAGCCTAGGGCACACGTTCGTTGCCGTGTGAAAGTACCATCGACAGGTTTCACACCATGGAGTATTCCTGCAAGCGAATTTGATATAATAAATTTTCCCATCGTTTAGCTTGATCGGCAGTTCTTCCTCAAATATTTCCTCCGCCTCCAGGATCAGTTAAAACTTCAAATTCATTAGCTTCGGTCTAGATCTATCCGGTTCGGGAGGGATCACCTTAATGACATGGTCCATTGCAGTTTCTACCATGCTCTCCACGTGAAACATCGCACGAAGAGGAACTCTCAGCGCCATTACCCAAAACTTTAAGTCATCTTCCAATTGCTTGCGTTCTTCCAGCTCCACCTTGGTCAACCACGGTTTGAAGGCCATGCCGTATTCAATTCCATGGATCGTTACTTTGTCTTCACCTTTTGCAATCAACCACTGGGCCATTCTCTCTCTAAACCAACCATTCTCGTATGCCCGCACCAAACCTTCCCTGGTCCTGAGAGGAAGGTCCCTTGCTTCTCCTAGAAAGATAATTGTGATGGTCCTTTCTTTAAGCCAGTCTGTTACTAACGTATCGGGGCCTGGGTTGACTTTGAAGAGGCAAATTCTTCCTTCCACCACCCATTCCCCGCGCCAGAATTTTTCGGGAATCGTCCCCTCCTCGTAGCATTTCGCAATGAGCACCTTCATCCGATCTTCGTCCGACGTGGAGATATCCGTCCTTGTATTAGGAACCGTAGCTCTGCCATTTTTCTGAGGTAAAGCCGTTCCTTGCTTTGCCATCTTGAAGTTAAATCCGCATCAATAGCTATATCCCGCCAACACAAGCAGCGGTTCCCACGTCAAAGGCAGGCGCTATTCAGCGCACGCCCACTGTATTACCCACAGGCCTGAAAGCCCTATCTTGACACACACGTCATCCACTTACACATATGATATTAGAGCAGCACCATCACCAAGGCTCGTTACACATATGATGTTAGAGCAACACCATCACCAAGGCTCGTTGGCCCGAGGACGGAGACACTCGGCGTTCTCGAGGCTACGTCAACCCTAATCGCTTGCGCGTCTTGGCAGCGAGTCAAGCGACCAACGAGACCGGCCGACGAAAGTTTTCAGTTCAGCCGGTAGCACAAGTTCGGAGCGCTGCTGCGCTGCGCAACTTCGGAGTGCTGCTGCGCCACCCCCCCGCGCCCCCTCGGTGTAGCCCAAGCCACGGTTGTAGGAAAGACTGGAGACGTTTCTACTGTATTTTTTCCCACGGCCGATACTGGTGGTATACAGGAGCTTGGTACTCAGAAAGCATCAGCCTGCTCATGCCGAGCTTGGTGCTTTCTTAGCTGAATATGCGATAGTGGTACCTAGCCCTTTGGCCCAAAGTGGCCGTCGCTGGTAGGTCGACGTGTGCCCCCCTGAGCTTCTGAGAGCGCCGTGAGCTATGCGGCTCACAGGCAGGAGTTTGGATCGATCAAAGATGAAGGGTTTGGGACACATCATATTTGTCTGCCACCCTGAGCACTCTCTGCCCTTGCCCAGGCGATAAGACCGGGACGCACCGAGGAGTCAGGTTCTTGCTTGTTCGCCCACGAAAACCGTTCGATGACATGGTTGTTCGAAATCGTTCGGTCATTTCCTGGCCAGGCAGGTTCGCGGGGCTCGGCTTGAGCCTGGTCAGGCGGACGGAGTGAAGGTTTCCCCCCTGCACGTGCAGGCTAAACGGCAAGCACAAATCGACGACGATCGACGCGTTCAAGGTTCGAGACCGGGCGGCCAGGTATGTTGTGCCTGGGAAGGGACAATAGCAGTGAAGCGCACTGCAATGAGCTGGCAGTGGGATTAGGGGGGGGCCGGGTCGGTGTAGGGTCCGCTGCGGTTGTGGAAGGACTACCTAGTTGAAGTGCCTTCGTGCGAAGTTGCGCCTTTGGGTAGAGCGGGACAAAGGTCCTTTTTGGCCGGGAAGCCGGCATAGTGTTTCTTCTGTCCTCCGGCCTGCTGTCCCCAAGGCAGACAATCTGCGCTGGGGGAGCGAGGTAGCGAGAGCATGCGAGAACCTAGACCGGCGGGAGGAGAAGGCGCGCTCAAGGCGTGAGGGGATTATCCCGCGGTGTCGCTACTGTTGGTGCCCTTTGGATCCCCGCCATCCACGCAAGTCGTCTCTCCGCGCTTCCGGCGGTTCCAGGGCGGCGGCGTATGTCGCAGTGGAGGCAAGACGTTGTCCCTGGCGGCCATCGCTCGCAAGCTTGCGAGCGAGAAGACGAGCAATTGCAATCTGAAACATCATCTGTAAGGATATCGTCGGCGGGAGCGAGTGTACCCAGCGGAGCTGACAGGCCGCGAAGATGGCGACCTTCGCCAAACCGGAGAACGCTCTCAAGCGTGCGGAGGGTACGTTCTCTCATTACCTACCTTCCGTTTTCTCAGCACCACCTACCTCACCTTCTTTGCTGTAATCACCTACCGTATGCTCGCTAATCACGTACTGTACGTTCGCCTATCACCTACCTAGCAAGCCGTAACCTAACGGAACGTGGCGTCGGTTTTCACCCATTCTGTCCCGCCTCACAATTCTCCAACGATGCTTTCTTTACATAGCTGCTCCTTCTCTTCGTTCACACTATCTTATTCTCTCCTGCTCTCTCGCTGTCTTGCCCTTTCGGGTTTTCCCATTTCATTGCTGTACACGATGCAACAATTCTTATCTTCTCGCAAGGATTACTCAACGAAGACCCCTAGGGCAATCCAGCTGGTGCAATCGGATATTTTTGGCCGCAAAGATGGACAATCTTAACCATTGCCTCGCGGTCTGGTTTTGTGCTTGACCTAATTTGGTAAGAGTGGCGATGTTATTTCTGCAGAAGCGTTCGCGTTCTTCAAGACTTAAAGTATTACCGTGAGTAGTGCTTCTCGAATCCTTACGCTCTCTCCTGCTTACCATATCTTCGCAGTTTGGCGTGACGGCGTGAGCGAAGTAAGTACAATCTGAAGTGGCCGCCCATTCTGGTGTAATGGCGTCTATAGAATAGATTGCTCGCGAGAACAGTCTTATCTTTTTTTTTTTTTTTTTTTTTTTTTAGAGCAGTTCTCTTATCTCTGCTTCCTTCTCCTTAAATTCCAAACGTCTCAGGGAGACCCGTAAAGCTTCGACTATTTCTACCGTGTCTGAAGCACGAAAGAGGGGGGAAGAAAGGGCAGGAGTGGCGTACGTACATCCCTCGCTCCCCTGCCACTCGATGCCTCGAAGTGGGGTATGGTTGCCTCCGTTCCAAGGGGTCTTTTTGTTAATATCAGGGAATTAATCTTTCACTCTCTGCAGCACTTCGACTTTCACGGGCTTAAACGAGTGCGTATTGAGATGGGGAGTGGGCAGGAGCCACGTGCGCAATATATGCTATGCGGAGCAGTGGTCACAGCAATGCGATGGTGGTCGTTTTGTTTTCGTTGTCCTCCGTACCTCCTCGTGCGCGTGCCGCTTACACAGCTGTAGGAAACGGAGTTGAGTGAATCTTCCTCAGCTATGGAGCGTTGGGAGCTGCCGCGAGTGTGTCTTATTTGAGAGGAGGATGCATCGTCAACAGCAAGAAGATCTGTACACTTTTATTGTGGTGCTAATCAATCGTTTACTCTATTTCTCTCTCTCTCTCCTCTCAATCCTGACAAGGAGCTACGGAACTAGCGTCAGCGCTGTTTTTGCTTATGTATAGGAAGTGGATGACGAATTTTAGGTCATGTGGCACATGTGAATGGCGATGTGTTCAAATTCCCAAAAATAACTGCTCCTGAAGTTTGAAGGATGCCTATGCCTACGTTACACGACTCCATGAACTAAACGTAATAAAGGTTGGCCTCAGCATGGAGACTGAGTGGCGTGGTGAAGAGCCAGGGTCGACGCGTGAGCTGGTTGATGCGGCATGTTGTTTGGATAAGCTGGACTCTGTCAATGACGATTCAACAAAAGGGTTGGGAATGAATTGAGAGAGAGATTGAGAGAGAGAGAGAGAGAGAGGAGAAGGATGGGATCTTTGAGTAGTTCAGATTCATGAAGAATGTGGGCGTGTTGTGAGGAGGCGACAAGGAGGGGAGGAAATGAGAGTCACCAACCGCATGGCGTAGGGGGAGGCGAAGCAAGGTGGATTGTGAGGAGGGACTGGGGCAAACGATAGGGCGAGAACGAGATTAACTCGGTGAGCGAGGAGCGGGCACTTGGAAAGGAGCAGGAAGAGGCTGGAGGGTGAAGAGGAGCAAGTTGGACGTGAGATCGAACGAGCCGAGAGGCGAGGAGCAACGTGGTGGACACACATGCAGCCAAGTGGAGGCCCGGAGATGTAAGATGCCGGGTGAGGAGGACAAGGCAGAAGCATACGGACGTGTAGCATGGAGGCAAGGTCATGAGGAAAGCCTTAGGGCAAGGGTTGGCAAGGTGCAGGTCAAGGGAAACCGCGCTCAACGAGGTCGCGTGGAGTAGAGTAATTGGACGAATGCTAGGAACAAGACAACAAGGGCACTGGAGAAGAGAACTTCGCGATTGACGAGAGTGGAGTCAGCTGGAAGGCAGCGTAGGATCACTGCCGTGAGAGGGGAAAGTGAGCTTGAGTAAGAAAATAGCAGGTAGAGCTTAGGTCTCGATGGGTGAAGGGAACAGGCAAGGTAGGAAGGACTAGAGTTGCTGGGAGGGGATAAGTGAACGGGAGAGGATGGAAATGATCGGGAGTCAGAGGAGCGGGCGCAAATGAAACCTGCAGAGGATGGAGCAGTTGGATATGGAGTCGGGAAAAACAGCGAGTGGTGGGGCGCCCGAGGGAGGGGAGGGAGTGCTGATGCTGACGGTGTAAAGGCATCAGTTGAGAGAGCGGGAAACGTAAGGGGGGTTAGGGGATGGTAGGAGGGAGTGGTGAGGTGGTGGGTTGTCAGGGAGTAGGGGGGAGGCAGAGCATAAGGCCGCGAGCGGGTTTGCAAGAGAAGCGGAGCAGAGTTGGAAAGCGATACAAGGGCATTTGGAGTCGTGAGCAGTGGGTCTAAAAGCAGGTTGAAAGAAGCAACAGCAGCTGGATGGATGTTCAGAAACTGGTCGATTTCAAGTTTGCGTTCGAGTACTTTTTCACTCGATAGAAGAGGAAAGGCACTGAGTTGTAGGGGTTTTTGATCGAGATGGGAGCGAAAGGGCAGAGGTGTGGGGATATAGAAGGAATTGAGCAGAAGAAGGGGATTGGGGAGAAAAAGAAGTGGGGAGAGCGGCGCTCGGAGGTAGGAAGTGGGTGAGAGAAAAGTGGAAGGGAGACTAAGCGAGCGAGGGAGAGAAGAGCAAGGAGGCAGAAGTGGTAAAAGGACTGGTGTTATTGGACGGTGGGAGAGGGAGACGCTTAAAAACAGAGAGGAGGGGCACGCAGGACCGAAAAGGGAAGAGGGGGTCTTGAGAGGGGTGAATGTGATAAGGTCGGGCGGGATTGGCGAACGTGGAGGGAAAAGGGAACGGTAGTTATACCGAGAGGCAACGAGAGTGTGGGGAATGACAAGGATGGAGAGCATAGAGGTCGGAGGAGGTAACACAGCAAGAGGCTCAGGAGAGCAGGGAGGTGGTTGGGCAGGCGAAAAGCTAATACCATGGATCCATGCGTAAAGGTGACAGAATGGGGATCAAGGAGATGAATGACAGAGGAGTTTCGGGGATATAACGATAGGAAGGGAATCGGCGGCGTCATTGTCGCTACCGGTAGCGACCAGAGGGTGGTGTAGAGAGGGGTGTTAGGAGACGAGAGCTGTGTGGTTTGGGGGCCACGTGAACGATATTCTGAATGGATTAGGCCTGGTGATGCTAGGCTTTGGAAGGGTAGAAAATGGAATTGAGCGGTGGTGTGTGTGATAGTGATTGTTTATGGGTGTGGAGTCACTAACGGCAACGGAATTCGAGGCAGGGTCCAAGCGGAGTAAGTACGGCGGCAGCGCTTTGCACTCGGATGGCAGCACGTTTGGAAGTATTGCTCTTGAAGTAAAATGAAATGAATAATATCGATTGCCTGAGAGACGAATGAAGTGGCGTCGGATTCTGCGACATTCAAATCGATCTCACCTCCTTCCCCCGAACACAACGCACCCTCATCGTGAATGTATACGGAAATTTCCGGCTCGATGCAGTCGTGATGAGGGAGCGTTGTATTGGGGGAAAGATTGCGAATCGATCTCACCTCCTTCCCCCGAACACAACGCGCCCTCATCATGAATGTATACGGAACTTTCCGACTCGATGCAGTCGTGACGAGGGTGCGTTGTATTCGGGGAAAGATTGTACGGTT